CCCAGGAAACACAAGAACCATCACAAGAACCCAGGAAACACAAGAACCATCACAAGAACCATCATAAGAACCCAGGAAACACAAGAACCATCACAAGAACCATCACAAGAACCATCATAAGAACCCAGGAAACACAAGAACCATCACAAGAACCATCATAAGAACCCAGGAAACACAAGAACCATCATAAGAACCATCACAAGAACCATCATAAGAACCATCACAAGAACCATCACAAGAACCATCATAAGAACCCAGGAAACACAAGAACCATCACAAGAACCCAGGAAACACAAGAACCATCACAAGAACCATCATAAGAACCCAGGAAACACAAGAACCATCACAAGAACCATCACAAGAACCATCATAAGAACCCAGGAAACACAAGAACCATCACAAGAACCATCACAAGAACCATCATAAGAACCCAGGAAACACAAGAACCATCACAAGAACCATCATAAGAACCAGGAAACACAAGAACCATCACAAGAACCATCACAAGAACCATCATAAGAACCCAGGAAACACAAGAACCATCACAAGAACCATCACAAGAACCATCATAAGAACCCAGGAAACACAAGAACCATCACAAGAACCATCACAAGAACCATCACAAGAACCATCACAAGAACCATCATAAGAACCCAGGAACACAAGAACCATCACAAGAACCATCACAAGAACCATCACAAGAACCATCACAAGAACCATCATAAGAACCCAGGAAACACAAGAACCATCACAAGAACCATCATAAGAACCCAGGAAACACAAGAACCATCACAAGAACCATCACAAGAACCATCATAAGAACCCAACAACACGAGCTGAGACCAAGAGGAACCAAAGATTTAAAAAGATGTAAGAAACTAGAAGAGCTAAAAGCAAATAAAGAGAGCAGCAATAAGAAGGTAAGAGCAGGAAAAGAAATAATAATATTAATAAAAATAAAAAGTAAATATAAATATGAAACATAAATAGACAAAGTCAGTAAGATAAGAAATGACCGAGTTAAAACACAAGAGGAGTGAAGATAAGAGCATAAATAAAAGGAGAGGAAGAAGTAAAAGAAAAGACATTAAGAAGACGACATCACAAAGTGTTCTCTCCTCAGGGAGGTCGTTCTAAAGTCGAGGGTCTGACTGTCTGTCCGTCCTGCAGCTTCATCAGTCTGTGTTTTAATGTCTCTGTGTCCGTCTGTCTGAAAGACAACAGCAGGTCAAAGGTCATCAACACCACACAGAGGTCACAGGTCACATTCTAACACGCTAACAGTGAAAATACTGAAATGCAGTTTGAATGTTTACGATCGAGCCTGTTAGCATGCTAATGCTAGTTTATTAGCAGTTTGTTTATGTTTGATCTGTAAACATCAGTCTCTGCGTCCGTCCGTCCTGCAGCTGTTCGACCGCATCAAACTGTTCGGCATGCCGGCCAAACACCAGCCCGACCTGATCTACCTGCGCTACGTCCCGCTGTGGAAGGTCCACATCTTCACCGTGGTGCAGATGACCTGCCTCATCATCCTGTGGACCATCAAGGCGTCGTCCGCCGCCGTCGTCTTCCCCATGATGGTGAGAGAGTCCCGGCTGTGTTTGGTTTTGATTCACACTTAAACACACTTTAACACACTTTGTTGTTGTGCAGGTTCTGGCTCTGGTGTTCATCAGGAAGCTTCTGGACTTCTTCTTCACAAAGAGAGAGCTGAGCTGGCTGGATGACCTGATACCAGAGAGCAAGAAGAAGAAAGAGGACGACAAGAAGAAGAAGGAGAAGGAGGTCAGCTGCTCCGATTAAACGTTATGAGCACACATCAATGAGGCTCCCCCCCCGTCACACTGACAGCGTGTCCAGCAGCTCGTCAGCGTTTACTTCTCTGTGAATTTCAGTTTCACCTCCGTATAAATAGTTTGACATCTCGTGCTTTTATTTTGAAAACTGAAGTGTGTGACATCTCGTGCTTTTATTTTGAAAACTGAAGTGTGTTTGTTTGTGTTGATGTGATTGTAATAGTTTTGCTTCCCTCCTAACACGAGTCAAAGCTCAACATTTTGATATTTTTAATGCATCACTACCTCAACTTTGAAAAACTGTGTTTTTTTTCAGGACGCTCGGCGGATGTTGGAGGAGGCGGAGGACGATCATCCGTACAACGGGAACGCCATCGACTTCCCCATCAAAAACCTGAAGGGGCGGTGAGTCAGGGACAAGAAACATCTGAGACCCTGAATGCACCACAGAGTGATGTAACTGTGTGTGTGTGTGTGTGTGTGTGTGTGTGTGTGTGTGTGTGTGTGTGTGTGTGTGTGTGTGTGTGTGTGTGTGTGTGTGTGTGTGTGTGTGTGTGTGTGTGTGTGTGTGTGTGTGTGTGTGTGTGTGTGTGTGTGTGTGTGTGTGTGTGTGTGTGTGTGTGTGTGTGTGTGTGTGTGTGTGTGTGTGTGTGTGTGTGTGTGTGTGTGTGTGTGTGTGTGTGTGTGTGTGTGTGTGTGTGTGTGTGTGTGTGTGTAGAGTTGACCCCTCAGAGGTCAACATTTCAGATGAAATGGCGAAAAGCGGCATCTGGAAGTCGGTGGCGATGAACTGTGACAGCAAAGCTCTGAAACGCAGCAACAGGTAAACCGACCTTTTGCTCGATGACATCATCAGCTGAGGCTCTCTGTGATTGGTTAATTCATTCTGGAAATAATATCTGATCCCTGACGTTTTGTCTTCCAGCTCGGAGAAGCTGCCGAGCGTCCACATTAACGTGGAGACCGACGGCGAGCGGAAAGTCGTGGACGCCGAGACATTTCTATGATGCTCTGCCGCCCTCCACCACCAGGCGGCGCTGTTTCAGGAAGAGAAGGGTGATGCTGCTGTGACTGCTGGGATACTGTCGTCCTCCATCTTCCTCTCCAGGTGAAAAGTCGTGGGAGGACCAATCAGGCGTCACGTCGCTGTCAAGTCTCCCTCGGGCGGCGGTGAACGTTTTATTTCCTCATCGTTTTATGATGAAACACGGAAACACATCCACTCAGAGCCAAAATGGCCGAATTGACTTCCTCAGGTTTTCTTTGGTTACGTTTGAATCAGATGGTCTGCTGCTGTGCTGTGATTGGCTGCTGGAGCATCAGAATGACACACAGACTCGATGGACGCCGGATTTTTCAGACTGACGACGAAGAAGAAGAAAAAACACCTGAAGTTTAATTTTATCGTTTTAAATTTTATGTTTCTGCTTTCAGGAAACACAAGAGTTTGAATTTAATCCATCATGCTGGTGTGTGTGTGTGTGTGCGTGCGTGCGTGCGTGCGTGCGTGCGTGCGTGTGTGTGTCTCTGTGTGTGTCTCTCTGTGTGTGTGTGTGTGTGTGTGTGTCTCTCTCTCTGTGTGTGTGTGTGTGTGTGTCTCTCTGTGTGTGTGTGTGTGTGTGTGTCTCTCTGTGTGTGTGTGTGTGTGTGTGTGTGTGTGTCACCTGCAGCAGCAGACTGAATGTCGTCTCTTCAGTTTCTTCTTCAGCTTTTGAATAAAATCAGTTTGATGATGACCACGAGTCAGACACGTTTATGTGACGGTCAGGACGATTTCAGGAACCGTCCTTGCAATATAGTGACGAGCAGTTGAGGCTGATGCGGTGCTGTGCATTCTGGGATTTGGTGTCTTTCATCCACATGAGCCAAAAAGACACTTTCTGTCTTTTCTCGGTCAAGAAGGCTCCAACTTCAAAATGTATTTCACATTTCTACATATATGACCCAAAGTCAACACAGACTCATGTTCACACGGGTGAAGTATCCCTTTAAATTTGGTTTAAAGTCTTTATATATTTTTAACCCTTAAATGTAGAAATCAAGTATCTCCTCTGAAAATAACTCTGTGAGTCATGACTGTCTACAATGGGTGTAACACCCGAGTCCCACTGTCTGTGATGTTTTCAGAGTTTTCAGAGTCCTATCTTCACTTTGTTTACATCGCCCGGACGGCCGGCTGACTCCTCCCCTCGTGTATAAAAGTTGTTTAATTGAGGGACTAGAGAAAAGAAGAATAACATACTGTACTCACTGCTTAACTGTGTTTCTAGATCACGCTCATTTCAGGTAAATTTACATGCAGTGTGAAGATACCAGCATAATAAAGATCGCTAGCATTAGCATGCTAACACAACAATGCAGCGCCAGTTGTTTTGGTTTCATGCTGGAGCTCAAGGGCGACATCTGCTGGATCAAAACATCACATATAAAGCCTTTAGTATGTGCATCAGTTTACAGGCTCACAGAGATCTGTGTTTTAGACTTTCTAACACACTTCCTGGTTTACCTTCAGTTTTACTGTGAAGACAAAAGAGGAATAATTCTGCCATATTCAGAAAAATGTTGCTTGAATCCGGTGAGTCGGGGGAAACTGTCGACACACAGATGTTATTTAGATGGAAACTTTATGGTCCTGTCAAACACAACCTTTGTCCTGAGTCAGCTCAGCACATGAGCTGTGATTGGTCAGAATATCTGCGTCTCAGTACGACTTCTACAAATTACCTGAATAGAAGATGACCCGATTTCACAGTTTTATTTGGGAGTAAAGATGATACAAACAAAACAAGTAAAACCAGTTAGGTTGTTGTTTTAAACAGCTGATGAATACAATCCATGGATTTTACTTAAAATTGTCACATTTTGATTTTTCCCACAAAATTATGTTTAAACGATGTGTTTATCGTTATTTAGGAAGAAAGATTTACTTTTACTCTGTTGAACATGCCCCACACACACACACAGAGACGGAGGGGTGTCCTATTATTTGAGCCGTTAGCGTCACAACTCTAAACACAACAAACAGACGCCTGCATCAGTAGAAACCGGTGAATGATCTCTATTGACAAAAAACATGAAAGCATTCAATCATAAGTTAGTGCTGCGTTTATAATCACGCATCGTAAAGTTCACAAAGATCAAATGTTATAAAGTCAGAGCAGTAAAAACAAAGAGAGAAAAGTTTCAGTTCATGTTGGAGATGTGGATGTGATGGTCGCCTTGTTAGAGCGGCGAGAACATGGCGAGCAGCGTGGACAGCAGCAGCAGGGCGGCGGACAGACGAGCTCTCGATGGTCCACCTGAAAACAAACACACGTTCACATGAAGCACTCCGACATGTTATTACAGATAATGCACAAAACTACATCCGTTCATTACAGTGTTTCCAAGATCAAAAGAGTCGCACAAATTTAACAAACAGTAAATCGATCCATGACGTCGTCTCATGTCAGCTTTCCAACGTCTACGTTCAGTCTCTGCCTGAGAAAGTCAGGTTTAGAAATTCAGCAGTTTGTATTCACACATGCAGCTCACTGCTTTGTTTGTGCACGTGTGCAAACAACTCAAAAGATTAAAGGAGCAGTATGTAACTCTGCCCCCTGGTGTTTAAAATGTGTACTGCAGTCTAAATTCTAAACATCATAGAGAGCTGTCCCCCCCCCTCCCCTCACTCAGGTCACCATGTGGTGGACTCTGAAGCTTCAGTGTTTATCCAGCTCTGCATGGGTCTGTAAACCTTTCTGTGTTCTAACCTCTCTCCATTTTTCAAAAGCATCTCCAATATTGATCCTAGTTTGAGCACGTTTCTGCTCGTGGAGCTTATTAGAAACATGCAGAGGCTTTTTAGGTCGGGTACAATCACTTCTATCTGAACCACTTCTCTTGACCGCTTCCATCACTGCAACACCTGTTGACCTGATAACTGCTCTCATATCTGGGAAACAGAGGGGCGTCCAAAACGGCCGTGTGGGGGCGTGTCTTAAAAGCGCCTACCTTCTCTGGTCCAAACAAATCCAGAGCATTCAGGAGCAGAATCTAAAGTTAGAAGGAGGACATACTGGCTGCTGCATTGTTGTCAGAGAAGCCAGCACTTCAACATAGCATGTTTCCTTAATGATCAGATAGTAAGATACCTTTATCATCTCACTCTCTACACAGCTCACTGATTGGACCTTTAAGAAGACAACATAGTAAAGACTCACCGCTGTGCAGCAGAAAGTCCTCTGTGACGCTCAGTGATCCGTTGTGTGCTTCAGGTTTGATCTGCAGCAGTTTACACATCAGAGGGTAAATGTGGATGCTGTCAAACGGCTCGGACACAAAGTTCTTCTTAAAGTCTGGACCGAAGGCCCTGAAGATGGTCTTCATGTCCATCTCCCCGTTGTGATAGCCATGATCTCCCTTGTTGACGTAGACGATGAATCTCTGAAGGGGAAAAAAAAGATTTAGGAAATGTCAGTCAGGTGGATTAAGTGGCAAAGCCTACAATTTATGACCACAACTGATTGATGATGATATAATGATAATGTGGTGTAAATTGGCCTGAAATCAGTCTACAATGTACGCACGGCTTAACAGTTCGCGTGTCTGTCATGTAGGGATCGAGACCGAGTCAAGTCCAATAACATAAATATAAATGTAAAATCATCATCTTGTGTGCAGGTAGACCGTTACACTGGGAAGGTTGCGGACATAACCGGTGGATAAAAATCAAACTACAAATGTTCTTTTAGAAAAGAGGCATTTTTTCTTTTTTTCACAGTAATGACATCGAAAAATAGCCAATCGGTGGGGGTCTTGATTTAAAATCCAGAGTCTGCCCAGTTTGAGACCGAGACAAGAACAGTGTTAATCTTCACACCTTTTTCTAATTTAGTCATAGTCTCCTGACGAAAATGTCCTTTATATTGAGTCAGATATTAGTCATTTGTTATGGATTTAATTTAGTCAATTAGTCACTGACTAAAATTGCACATCATTTTAGTTGACGACAATAGAAGATATTTTAGTCAACAAAATCAGACGCAAGCTTTTATTTTGATTATCAGAAGCTCCAGGGGGCGGAGCTTCACAGACCTGCAGGCCGCACATTGTTGCACTCATCACACACGCACACACACACACACACCTTTGATGAAGTCTGCTATGGTTTACAATGATTTTAGAACAGCTGAGGGGGTACGTGATAATCCTCACTTGTAATGTAGTTTTGATTTCGTCACATTTTCGTCAATTAAATGATGGAGTAATATTATTTATCAAATCGTTAATGTGCGGAGTTTCGTCTCGTTATCTTCATAGTTGACTAATTTAAAAAGACCTTCGTCAACAAATTTTTTCGGCATTTATTTAATTGACGAGATTAACACTGGACAAGACCGAGTCAAAATGCCTTCGATTCTGAGATGAGACCTCCAACAAGTGGTCTCAAGACCGGGCTTGGATTTTGAGTACAACAACACTACGGTCTCTGGAGTCTGTTAAATGAAGCTTAATGTCTCTTCTGTTGACTCAGTTAGAATTACATTTGGTCAACAGGAAGGTTTCTATCAAAAAGAATCAAACTGAAACTAAATATTTATTTAAACTAAAAGGCTGCAGCTTTGCCGGTAAACAACAAAAACCTGTAAGGATTCAGCGTATGATCTAAAATGAAAACTCACAGAGTTCAAGTTGAATCCCAGATCTGCGACGACCACGATGGGAGGCAGCCGTTTACTTTTGGCGAGATGGAAGCTCTCAGGAAACTCGTCCTTTTTCCACACTGTCAGATTGGGCGCTTTGGACAGGGCGTCGAACACCACCTGCTCCTTCCCCGGCCGTGGCGTCAAGATACCGAAACCCCCGTAGTCGAGGATCTCGAAGCTGGCGTGCTGGATCAGATTGAGGTATTTGTTGAGGATGATCTCGTCCACCTGCGGTCGCTTCTTGACAGTTGTCATGCCGTGGTCGGAGGAGATGATGACATTCAGAGTGTTGCTCAGGTCATGGCGAATGATAGCCTCCCTCAGGTACCCGATGATGCGGTCAATCTGCATGATGATCTTCTTCCTGTTGGGGTGGTCCGGCCCCTTGGCGTGCCCCACGTTGTCCGGCTCGCCGTAGTACAGCGTCACCAGGTGGAAGTCCTCCTCAGAGAACCAGCTCATCACCTCGTCGATGTTCTGACGCCACTCTGTCTCGTTGTCGTCTGGGTGGCCGGACTCCTCCGACAGTGACCTGTAGACCGCCTGGCCACTGTAGTTGGCTCCGCCTCCTGGGAAGTAGAAGGAGCCGGTTTTCAGACCCTGAGGTAACAAGAGGCAACGATAAATCATGTGCAGTTTTACATCACAAGCTGAGGATTGAGGAAGGAACATCATGATTTTTGGTCTCCAGTATTAGCTCTGTTTTTGGTCTCCACCTTGTCCCGGGAGGAATATCTGACCCCTAGGCATCGAAATGCTTCACTATCTTCCTCGGCAAGTTTTAAACTGTGTCTGCTGCTGCTGTTGAAAAGGTCATTAAAAAACTCCTCGCTGAGACCATTAAAAATGCTTTTAGGACAGTGACGGTGAAACAAAATCTTTGGGAGTACCTCAGGGCTCTTTCCTTGGTCCCCTTTTGTTTTCTATCTACTATCGTAAAATGTTGATGTAGACTTTTGATCTTAAAAAGAAAATAAACCAAAACACAAATGCCTTACAGCTGAACTCATACTAATGGCCATCAAGAGGTGACTCTATTGATTTGTCTGTATGCATAGAAGTCGAGTCTGTTTACTTGGACTTGAGTATCCCGTTTACGAGTCTTACCTCGGTTTTAGGGGCCTGAAACTCGTCTAGTGTGTTACCAGTCTAATTTTTTATATCTTCCATCAACTCAATGAATAGCATCTTTATTTAAACTCAGACTGTTGTTTGAACACTTATGAGTAAATACTTACCCATGAAGTAGTCCTGTGTCAGATTGTTTCTAAAACAAGCCTAAGTTTTAATTATAAACCTGAAACAAGTCTTGCCTTCCATTTTAACTTCTTTGTTGGCGTTACAAACATTAAAATTAGTCATTATCGTCGACTCACCTGGTTCTGAGCTGTGATCCACAACGGCAGAACTCCGTTGTCCCACCACTCTGATCGTGTCAGCGTCTCTTTGTGAGAAACTTTTTGGTTCGTCGTGGCGTTGTACATCATGTTGTGGACGACTTCGTGATCCTCCACCCATCTGCCTAACGTACAGGAAACAAGGTGGGAAGAGGTTCTGACCAACGGACTTTATATTCAGATGGACAGAGCTACAGCCCCCTGGGAGGGAAGCCAGGCGATTTAGAGCTCCCCCTACTGACTGGTTGCAGTATAGGTCTTAAATTTCAAATAAATGTTGCCTCAAACCTGGACTCTGGATTTCTGTGGAAGGGCTCTTAGGTTTGAATTATTTGATAAAGAAGAACAAATGTGACATCATGATTGACAGCTCTGTTGACGAATCAGGTTCCTTACAGAATTCTCAATGGGATTAGCATCGCAGTTGAGCAAAGGCGAGGGAAATCGTACAATTCAGTTATAACCGCGAGTATCTGCCACAAACTTTTAGTCATTAAAACCTATAAAAACGTCATTACTAAAGATAATGTTTCTACCTGTGATGGTGGTGAAGTGGGACGGGGAGGTCATGGTCAGCATCGGGGGGGTTATGTACTTGGCCTTGACGCCGTCCAGTACCAGCTGGTCCAGGTGCGGCGTGTCCACATCCTGGTCGTAGTCCCACCTGAAGCCGTCAAAAGAGACGAGCAGCAGTTTGTTCCTCTGTGCCGCCTCGTTTAGAGGTTTGGCGGCAGCGCAGATCACCGCAGTGACGACCAGGAACAGCTCCGGCTTCATCTTCACCTTCACCTGACTGACTGACTGACTGCAGCTCACCTGTCTGCACACCTGCAGCTGCCTCCTGGTTTAATGTGTAACTTGTGTTTATCTGATTGAGATCAGCTAACTGCGGGTGAAGGACGAAACCTTCAGCTCTGATGAATCCTTATCAGGATCCTGATCAGTGGACCGACTGATAGCAGCTTCCCGATAAAAAGCTGACACACTCAATAAATACACCTTACTGCACGTTTTTCAAAGGTCACTTTACAGACTGAGCTTAGTGTGAAGTCTGCAAAGTGTTTACAAGAACTAAATGTGACAGATCCACCACAGCCCACTGTCCGTATCATGTCCGCCGTCATGACACGACCTTAAAGAATACTCTGATGATATCACATCATTTATTCAAACTTGTGTCAAAGTTACAGATGTTCCAAAAGTATTTCAACATCCAAACACTCATCAGAGAGCTCAACACATACCGCTCATTTAGTTCTCATTTGGAACAGAGGCTCATTAGTAAAACCTGCCCCCCTGCTGCTGCCCCCTTGTGGCTGTCTGTGAATTCATCCTGTGCTCATTGTTGCTTTAGTTGTCTACTGTGGCATGCGTCTGGTACAGCTCACTCAATGTGTTTTATATGTCGCCTCCCAAGCGGCAACCTCCAGTGTTGAAAAATGAAGCAGATGTTGAAGTGTAAAACCCTGCAGTTCCTCGAGTGTCCACTTTCATTGTTGTATTTTTTTATTTAACTGATGTAAATATGTTTGATTTTTAACTTCTATTTTTATTTTTAATAATTATATTCCCGTCTCCTGTTTTCTTCAGCTGCTGTAACACAAAAATGTCCCCCATGGGGGATCAATAAAGTTTATCTTTATCTTTAGAGGCTGGCTGCAGAAGCACAGGAAGTCACATACACACCCATTGTAAAAAGCCTGTTTTTACAGCAGAGATGAACATGTTTACAGCCTGGTTCAAAAAACCAAATAGGTGTGATTAGCTCATGTCTGGATGGACACACACTGTACGGGGGGTGAATGTTTTGATGACTCATCAGTTTTGATTTGATGAAGGATAAGAGTTATTCACAATAAGGCGTGTAGCTGACCTGATTGACAGGTGGGCGCGGTGTAACGGTTTGTCAGGAGGTTTAAAACCCGCCTCAGCTCCAGCTCTCAGTCTGTCGTTAGGTTGACTGAAAGTTAGACTGAGACAGCATTTCCAGCATGGAGACCGCCATCGATGGGACTCCAGCGCCCCCTGCAGGAACAGACGGGGGACGCCATCGATGGGACTCCAGCGCCCCCTGCAGGAACAGACGGGGGATGCCATCGATGGGACTCCAGCGCCCCCTGCAGGGACAGACGGGGGACGCCATCGATGGGACTCCAGCGCCCCCTGCAGGGACAGACAGAGACCGCCATCGATGAGACTCCAGCGCCCCCTGCAGGGACAGACGGGGGACGCCATCGATGGGACTCCAGCGCCCCCTGCAGGGACAGACGGGGGACGCCATGGACACCTGTGACTCCTTACCTCCTCGCTCCAATACTTTCCTGTTATTTCTATTTGTAGTTTTTATCAATGTTCCCTCTTGAGGTGTTTGCATCCTAATCACTGTCTTCTTTTCCCCTGTCGTGTTTTATTCTGTTTCCTTTTAGGAAGCTTAATTCTAAAATCTGTCCGCAGACTACAGATGGAAAAGAGCTTCTAACTCTTTCCCATGTTTATCTTTCTTGTTATTTCAAGGTTTAGTTTCACAGCTGTCAGTTTATCTGATCGTTATATGATTGATGACACTAATAAAACCTGATGCCCGATTGAGACTTGATGTTCCAACACGGTGCTAAAGATCAGGGGAGAATCATCACAGCCAAATAATTACAACACGTGCTTCAGCAGATCTGTTTTATCAGACGACGTGTCTATGGAGGCTACAGAGAGTTCAAGCTTGTTACATGTTGGTGTGAGTGTTGTGTGTGATGGTTTACAGAATCTCAGATGTACTAAAGTCCTACGTTGCACTTTGACTAAGGGTTTGCATTAAATCAAATCTGGAAGCATTTTTGCAAGCAACAAACTGGAAAATGTACAGAACAGGATTATGGCCAGACATGAGTGATATAGTATGAGAGGAGGAAGATTTTTTTTTCTATCGTGCACTTTGAGAATAACGTCAAAATGTAGAGAATAAAGTTGAAGTACAATTCCATTTTCTGGAATTGTACTTCAACGTTTGGGATTAACTGTAAAATAATCTAGAGGGCCGTTGAGTCGTTTTCTGCCTTTATCGCTCTCCACACTCCAGTCCAGTAGGTGGCGGTAATGCGCCTCTGAGCTGGTTGCCAACTGTTAGTAAACACCAACGAAGAAGAACGCACACGACTTTCCGGTGCTCATGCTGTCCTGTGAAGACCTTGAGTGATTTTTCAATCATTATGCGATAAAAACAGATTCTAAAGTCTGAGCTACACTTTATTTGATCTACTCGGACAGTTTCTTTGGATCTGACAGCGGCTGTTCATCCGGGACTCTGATCCGGTACGTAGAGACATTAAACACCTGATAACCTCTGTGTGTCTGTTACAGGTGTAACGGTTTGAAGTGTGACCGTGTTAACTGGTGACTTTCAGCCTGTGGTGGTCGTGACTGTTAAAGACTGAACGTTTCCGGTCCTAACATTAATATTTGCAGTCTGTGGTCTTAATGAAATCTGCTCTGTGATTATAAGAAGAGGAAAGTTAGAACTCTGTCTGTAACGTCTGTTGTTTTCACGACAACCGCAGGCTCGTTTGGGTAATTGTCTCCAGTTAACACGGTCACCTTTTAAACCACAACACCGCCAGGAAGCTAATGTTAGCTTAGCTATGTTGACTGTGACTAACGTTACGATTAAGATGTTCTTTAAACTCAATGTTTAATTATAAGAAGAGCTACATGTCGCCTTTAGCATGTAGCATCCCTGTTTGATTGATTTTTCATGATTAAAGATTCTCTACAGAATCTGAAGTTTGATGTGGAAACTTAAAATAAAACAACTTAAAATAAAACAACTTAAAATAAAGCAACTTAAAATAAAACAACTTAAAATTAAACAACTTAAAATTAAACAACTGAAATAAAACAACTTAAAATTAAACAACTTAAAATAAAACAACTTAAAATAAAACAACTGAAATAAAACAACTGAAATAAAACAACTTAAAATAAAACAACTGAAATAAAACAACTTAAAATAAAACAACTGAAATAAAACAACTTAAAATAAAACAACTTAAAATAAAACAACTGAAATAAAACAACTTAAAATAAAACAACTTAAAATAAAACAACTGAAATAAAACAACTTAAAATAAAACAACTGAAATAAAACAACTTAAAATAAAACAACTTAAAATAAAACAACTGAAATAAAACAACTTAAAATAAAACAACTGAAATTAAACAACTTAAAATAAAACAACTGAAATAAAACAACTTAAAATAAAACAACTTAAAATAAAACAACTGAAATAAAACAACTTAAAATTAAACAACTGAAATAAAACAACTGAAATTAAACAACTTAAAATAAAACAACTGAAATAAAACAACTTAAAATAAAACAACTTGAAATAAAACAACTGAAATAAAACAACTTAAAATAAAACAACTTAAAATAAAACAACTGAAATAAAACAACTTAAAATAAAACAACTTAAAATAAAACAACTGAAATAAAACAACTTAAAATAAAACAACTTAAAATAAAACAACTGAAATAAAACAACTTAAAATAAAACAACTGAAATTAAACAACTTAAAATAAAACAACTGAAATAAAACAACTTAAAATAAAACAACTTAAAATAAAACAACTGAAATAAAACAACTTAAAATTAAACAACTGAAATAAAACAACTGAAATAAAACAACTTAAAATAAAACAACTTAAAATAAAACAACTGAAATAAAACAACTTAAAATAAAACAACTGAAATAAAACAACTTAAAATAAAACAACTTAAAATAAAACAACTTGAAATAAACTTTTTAAAGCTTTTTAATTCTTAACTTTAACATCTTTGTAACAACAATATGAGAACAACAGCTGTGTACAGAGGTGATGATTGTCAACAGGCAAGGCAGGCTACTGGGGGCCCCAGCCCAGTAGGGGGGGCCTCGAGGGCTGACAAACTGTCCACCACAGCAGTGACTCAAAATGTGCAACTTTTCCAGTGACAGCAGGGTCAGGGTTAGATCCTAAAGGGACCTGACAGAACTCCGTCTCTAAACACAGCATGCGTTGATGAAAACCAAAGAAAGAAACAGGAAGTGGAGTTAGTGTTAGAACACTGCTGGTGGGCCGGCCCCCCAGTTACTTTTACCTAGGGACCTAATAGATGGTACCTGTTATTCCCAGAAAGCTCAACGTCGAGATTTGATGTGAAACGGGATAAATTCTCAATAAAAGACTAAACCTTAAAGTTTTTGTCTCTTTAAGGACAACAGAAACTACACTACTCATTATTTAGTCATTTCTGGGGCCGCCTTCTCATTTCGGCGTACATCGTTGCCATAACAATACGAGTACCCGTCTATGACCTGTTTTCCTCCCAGCAGCAGCAGCGCTCATTTAAAGACACTCGAAGTCAACCTGATGATCCTCTGCGTCTCTCATGTTTGTAGTCTTCAGTAGTTTCATTTGTTGTTTCTGTTTCAGGGATGTCTTCTTTATGGAGCCTGAGGCCGCTGCTGACGTCTCTGTTACGAGGTCAGTTTGAACACCTCTCACCTGTTCATACGCACTGAGCATGTGCAGAGCGGGGCGGGTGGGGGGGTGGGGGGTGGGGGGGGGGGGTCACATGTGCTCTAGGGTTGTCCTGATACCAGAATTTTACATTTTGCACTTCATGGTCAGTTTCATTTTTTAACACCGGAGGTTGCCGCTTGGTTACTCCTCTCTAGACAGCAGCAGCTGAGGCTCATGGGATTTGTAGTATCTAGGTGGATTACATGTCACACAGTTGGATTCTTTAATCTGTGGTATTTATTTATTCATTTATTTTTTTTACCTTTTTCCTCTCTGCAGCCTCCCAGCATGCCTCCCAGCCTGGACGGCGCCCCTCCTCTCCAGGACGATGGCCACCCTGAACCAGATGCACCGGCAGGGGAAACCCAAACAGCCCCCTAAATCCCTCGGCGCCACGTTCGGACGCCCCCAGCTGAAGGCGTTGGTCCTGAAGACCATGATCAGAAAACCTAAGAAGCCCAACTCTGCGAACAGGAAGTGTGCTCGAGTGCGTCTGTCCAACGGGAAGGAGGCGGTGGTGTTCATCCCCGGCGAGGGACACAACCTGCAGGAGCACAACGTGGTGCTGGTGGAGGGCGGGAGGACGCAGGATCTGCCCGGAGTCAAACTCAAAGTGGTGCGAGGGAAATATGACTGTGCCCACGTGGTGAAGAAGAAACAGTAGAGAGGAGGATGAAGAGTGTTTAATAAATGTGTGTTATTCTTACCCCTGTGTCAACGTCATTACTGTAACCATGGTAACCATCAACATGAGATGATAAAGGTATCTTACTCTCTGATCATTAAGGAAACATGCTATGTTGAAGTGCTGGCTTCTCTGACAACAATGCAGCAGCCAGTATGTCCTCCTTCTAACTTTAGATTCTGCTCCTGAATGCTCTGGATTTGTTTGGACCAGAGAAGGTAGGCGCTTTTAAGACCCCCCCCCCACACGGCCGTTTTGGACACCCCTCAGTTTGTCAGATATGAGAGCAGTTATCAGGTCAACAGGTGTTGCAGTGATGGAAGCGGTCAAGAGAAGTGGTTCAGATAGAAGTGATTGTACCCGACCTAAAAAGCCTCTGCATGTTTCTAATAAGCTCCACGAGCAGAAACGTGCTCAAACTAGGATCAATATTGGAGATGCTTTTGAAAAATGGAGAGAGGTTAGAACACAGAAAGGTTTACAGACCCATGCAGAGCTGGATAAACACTGAAGCTTCAGAGTCCACCACATGGTGACCTGTGAGTACATATTATAGTATTTGTGATTCTGTCAGATTTGTCCTGTAGTTCATCTTTCGGCCGGTGGTGGCAGCACTGAGCGCAGCACTGTCCGTCTCTACACACTGAAGAAGAAGACGACGGGTGCATCATCTTCGTTGTTATCGCCTTTATTTCTCGGAGTAAGTTGTGTTTTAGTTACTTTATCTTCTCTTGACATCGACAGTAATCCTGCTGACATGTCGACGGAAGCTTCACGCACCTCTTGTGTGTGATTTAGCCTCCATTTAAACCGGAAACGATGTGTTTGTAATGATTTGTAATGATAGAAGAAAGTGTTTCCCGAGGCAGCAGCTAGCAAAGAGCTACGATAACAGAGTCAGTGTTCGCGGTGTTTCTTCTTCGTTGTTAATGTTTTCATGAGTTTACCTGCAGACCTTCAGAGTTTACCTGCAGACCTTCAGAGTTTACCTGCAGACCTTCAGAGTTTACCTGCAGACCTTCAGAGTTTACCTGCAGACCTTCAGAGTTTACCTGCAGACCTTCAGGCTCACGTGAAAGATTCGGTTCCGGTTCGTGTTGGGATGTTTAACGGTTCCGGTTAAACTGAACATTGACCCCTACATGAAGAGGTCATGTTGTAACCTTTAACCCCTGTCATCACCTCTCAATGATGACGTCACTGTTTAATACATCAATTAGTACAGTGGCTCCCAACATGGGGGTCGGGTCACCCTGGGGGGTCGGGAGAGTCCGGGGCGGGGTCGGGAGAGTCCGGGGGGGATCGGTAGAGTCCGGGGGGGGGGTCGGGAGAGTCCGGGGGGATCGGTAGAGTCCGGGGGGGGGGTCGGGAGAGTCCGGGGGGGTCGGGAGAGTCCGGGGGGGGGGTCGGGAGTCCGGGAGGGGGGGGGGGGTTGTGTCCTCATTATTTGATAGGTCGGATTCTCCTCCTTCAGTGGTCAGGGGGCGTGGCCCGCTGCGGGGCGTGGCCTGGTCAGGGGGCGTGGCCTGGTCCGGGGCGTGGCCCGCTGCGGGGCGTGGCCCGATCCGGGGCGTGGCCCGGTCCGGGGCGTGGCCTGGTCCGGGGCGTGGCCTGGTCCGGGGCGTGGCCTGGTCCGGGGCGTGTCACAACAGTTTATTGTCTCCAAGAAATCCTCCGGTGTGTTTTGAGTGGATTGTTTTGCGGCTCCACCTGGACTCTGATTGGTTCAGAACCAGCAGCCAATGAGAGCGAGCGGACCTGTTGTGTTCTCTGAATCCATGAACACACACACACACACACACACACACACACACACACACACACACACACACACACACACACACACACACTGTGCTGCGTGTAGTTGAAGAGAATCTCAATGTGAAGTAAAGAGAGGAGAAGAACATCCTGGAGAACAGGAAACATGCAGCAGCAGGTTGATTAGAGCACGGAGATGATAGAGGTGGCGTGCAGACAGTCTATGGTCGTGCAGCGATCACAGGGAATAAAGGTCACCACCCCCCCCACTGGCTCCTCCCACTGGCTCCTCCCACTGGCTCCAGGTGAATTCTCCTCATTATATCCTGCTGTGTTCTCACATCAGCTCACTCTGACTTTCTGCAGAATAAACATGAGGAGGCTGGAGGAGAAACTCAGAGTGAAGAGAGAAACATTCAGGTGTTTGAGTGATCACATGAAGCTCAGAGTGAAGAGAGAAACATTCAGATGTTTGAGTGATCACATGACGCTCAGAGTGAAGAGAGAAACATTCAGATGTTTGAGTGATCACATGACGCTCAGAGTGAGAACACCTGGAGGTAGTTTTTCTGTAAGTTTGTCTCTTGTGTTTGTTTCAGAGGCTTCGAGGAGGAGACAGCTGACGTGTGGTGACGTGTACAGCATGACGAGATGACCGGAGTGACAGAAGAAGCAGACGACGATCAGCAGTTTCCCTCTGAAGGTCAGAAAAACATCTGTCAACATTTCACCATTTAAAGTCTTTATATGTGATGTTTTGATCCAGCAGATGTCGCCCTTGAGCACCAGCATGAAACCAAAACAACTGGCGCTGCATTGTTGTGTTAGCATGCTAATGCTAGCGATCTTTATTCTGCTGGTATCTTCACACTGCATGTAAATTTACCTGAAATGAGCGTGATCTAGAAACACAGTTAAGCAGTGAGTACAGTATGTTATTCTTCTTTTCTCTAGTCCCTCAATTAAACAACTTTTATACACGAGGGGAGGAGTCAGCCGGCCGTCCGGGCGATGTAAACAAAGTGAAGATAGGACTCTGAAAACTGTGAAAACATCACAGACAGTGGGACTCGGGTGTTACACCCATTGTAGACAGTCATGACTCACAGAGTTATTTTCAGAGGAGAGACTTGATTTATATTTAAGTGTGAAACATCACATTTGAAGACTTTAATAAGACAGGTGTTCATGTGTGAGTGTTACAGGTAGGATGTGTTTTCTTTAGTCAGAGACAGGTTTTCTGTTTCCCTTTGTTTCCTGTTTTGCTAAGCTACGCTAACTGCCTTGCATTAATCAGATACCCCAGATGTTTAAATCCTAAAATGTTAAACTAACCCTTTAAAGTTATGCTTCAGTTCATCTGATCGCCCTCTGTGATAAAGATAAACTTCATTGATCCCCCATGGGGGACATGTTTTTGTCAGCTCAAGGAAACAGGAAACAGGAAACAGGAAGTTAAAAATCAAACATATTTACATCAATTAAATAAAGAGAGGAAAAACACAATCATATAATAATACAAGGTATTTACACTTCCACTTGTGGAAAGAGTTGTTCTTAAAAACACACACAGTGTGTAGCAGTATTGTTATGAGTCATGCAGTGACATCATAATGACATCATAATGACATCATTGTTTCCTACAGGAGAGGAAACGCTCCCGGTCATCCAGACGTCAGCACGACTGTCTCTAAAGAAATGTCGCCCCACTCACCCGTGTTCGGTGTGCGGCCGAGTGTTCTCCCGTCCGTCTCGTCTGGCCGACCACTTGGCCTCGCACGCCGGAGAGAAGCGTCACAGCTGCTCCGTGTGCGGGAAGCGCTTTGCCAAGAAGATCAACCTGACGTCTCACCTGCGTGTCCACACGGGCGAGAAGCCGTACTCCTGCCCGCACTGCGGCGTCAGCTACGCCCAGATGAGCTGCCTGCGGCGACATCTGCCCCGGCACGCCGCCGAGAAGCCGCATGTCTGCATGTTTTGCAGCCGCGGCTTCGTCCAGCGGCGCCACCTGGTGCAACACGAGCGGACGCACACCGGGGAGAAACCGTTCGCCTGCCCGCTGTGCCCCAAACGCTTCGCCTCCAACGCGGGCTTCAGCGAGCACCAGAAGAGCCACACGCAGAGGAACCTGCTGTGCTCGCTCTGCGGGAAGGCCTTCTCCACGCCGTCGTCCCTCAGAGACCACGTGAGGAACCACACGGGGGAGAAGCTCCACCCCTGCTCGCTGTGCAGCAAGAGCTTCAACCGACCGGGCCTGCTGAAGAAACACCTGCAGAGACACGCCGTGGAGCAGGAGCTGGCCAAAGCTCGAGGATCTCAGAACAGCGTGAGTGTTGAGGAGAGAGGGAGGGGCGGTCCTGACCTTTAACCTTTCTGTGGCGAGCGTGGCATGCTTCCTGCTGCTGCTCTAAACATTTCCATCCTCTCAGCGACTCCTTTACGTCCTTTCACTCTGCACTAAGCTAAGCTAGCCCCCCCCCCCATACATATATTAACCTGAAGAATCCCTCTAGATGTGACATTTAAACAAGAACCTAAAAACAGTTGAGGAAAAAAATCTGTAATTAGACCTGAATATAAAAAATAAAAAAGTGTTGACCTTCTGTTGTGTTGTTTCTGTTGTGTTTTATATATTTATATTTATTTATTTATTTATTTTATTTATTGTGTGAGCTTTGAAGTAAATTCTATCCAGCAGTCTTCTACTTTGTCTCCGACATTAGGAGGGAACTTTTTACCGCTGCCTCAAGTGCCATGGCGATTTCCCCACGCCCGAGAAGCTGCAGCAGCACGAAGAGCTCCACCGGATGGCGCTGCAGTTTGTGTGCGACGCCTGCGGCCGCAGCTTCAGCCGAGAGTCTCGTCTGAGGGAGCACGCCAGGACTCACACCGGGGAGAAGCCGTTTCAGTGCGAGGTCTGCGAGAAGCAGTTCTCCGCTCAGAGGGCGCTGAGGAGGCACCGGGAGATCCACAAGAAGAAGGGAGAGGGCGTCGCCATGACGACCGAGAACGGATCCACGCAGTCGGAGGAAGACGAGGAGGTGAGGAGACCTTTAGAAAAATAAATGTAAAAACACAGATGGTTACAGAAATAGGTTTTCTTTTTTGGATCTTTGGATTTTCTCACGTTCTCTCACTTTTACTGTCTGCATCTCGTGTCGAGTATCGAACAGTTAAGTCGAGTAATTCTGGATATTTAACTCGCCATCGGGTTTAGAGGCCTGACTAGCTGGAGTTCATGACACACTGAGAGCGATGACTTTAGCGATCACACTGAATCGACAGCTGACAAACTTGAACTCATCTCACTTAATGATGTTTTTGAACAGAAAGCAGACGAGCGGGTCAGTGAAGGCAGCACGGCGGCAGGTTCGGCGTTCGACAGCTGCGGTCTGAACGGGCTGCGGGAGATCAAAGTCGAGATCACAAGCGATGTTGAGGATGAAGAGGAAACGATGCCTTCCCAGAGCGGTGAGAACGCAGAGCTAACATCGGATTGTGTTTTTAAAAAGATCAAGAATGAGAGACATGTTTTATTTGAACCGAATGCTGCTTGATGTGTATCCTGCAGGCTTCATGTTGTTTCTCCTGTGGCTGCTCACCTGTCTGCTTCATTACTGTCAGGATATTTCTATTTGTAGCTTTTAGTGATGTTTGAATTTGTTTTGTTTTTTAGGGAGCGTTTTATAAAATCTGTCCAGGGACAACAGATGTAAATTAGCCTTTTGGCTAACTCTGGCATATTTACTGAAATGTTTATTAATATATATATACATGTAATATACATAAAAAAGTAAATCAATCTAGACTGAAAGAGACAGACAGCTGTAGGTGTGGATGTGAGCACTCTGCCTGGTTGTTTGTCTGTGATTGACTGGAAACCAGTCCAGGTAGTACCTCTTTCCCAGTGTCAGCTGGGAACAACTCCAGCCCTCCTGCGACCTCGAGCAGGACAAGCGGTGTGATGTCATAAACTCTCTAAAAACCTTGAAATCAGAGATGATAAACACACCTCTGCTGCTCGTTCACATCCTGAACTTTCATCTTGTGTTTTGTGCAGAAAGCGTTCCCGACAGTCCAAAGAAACCCTACAGCTGCTCCATCTGTGGGAAGACCTTCTCCAGGCCGTCCAGACTCAAAGAACACTTTAAGAACCACGCCACGGACTCGGAGCAGACGCTGCACCGCTGCTCCAAGTGCACGGAGACGTTCAGCGCCGTCAGCGACCTGAGGGCGCACGAGAAGATCCACAGGAAGCGTCACCCCTGCAGCATCTGCGCCCGCAGCTTCCTGAAGCCGTGCCACCTCCGGAAACACATGAGGACCCACGTCAGGGACGGACTCATCCAGGAGCCCGCCGACCAGGTGACACGCCACCTTTACTGTTTAACTCTCCTCATACCTTTCTTTATCATGTTTTAAAACGAGACGTCTCCTTTAGTTTCATGATCGACAAACTTCAGATCTTCAGTCAAACTTTTAACCAGAGAGGGCGCTGTTTAAATACTTTGGTAACATGTCGGGACAGAAATGTTGTCCATGTATTTCAGACAGTGTGCAGGAGGCTGACTGCACCTTTTGAATTACACCTATAAGATTTATTCTCATAGTCCACTGCACAGCTCCTACATTTCACCTTTTATACATTTTGTGTTTTTTTATATTTGACATTTTTAAATTCTGTTTTATATATTGTAATATCTTCTTATTCTGTATTACCGTATTGGTCCGAATATAAGACGACCCTGATTATAAGACGACCCCCGTTTTTCAACACTCATATTTAGAAAAAAAAGATTTGCAGACCAGATCTTGTTTTTATAAAGAACTTTTTTTAAAGAACTTCATTTTATTTGAAAATAACAATATTAAAAACACATTGAATTAAACACCTGTTGTATTAATAATCATAATAATAATTAACATACCGTATTTATCGGTATAGGCCTACGGCACTTTTCAAAACAAAGTGTTTCACAAGGGGGCGAACTATGTACAGTATGATTCAACATTAAAATCGATTAACAATCAAACAATATTATCAACATGTTTTTAACATTTTGAAATAACAGAAGAAATACAGGCAACGTTTTTAACTAAACTACCGCTAAACTAAAACTCTCCAAACTTCTCCTCCAATGTCTCCTCTCTATTCCTCACACACACACACACACACACACACACACACACACACACTCTGCTGTGTTCTCTCTCACTGTCATCACTCCCCTGCTCCTCCCAGAGCACGTCATGTGTGTTGACATTTAAAGAGACAGGTGAACAATTAGAGCTGCGCTCTGAATACTAGACCCCGAATATAAGACGACCCGACTTTTTCGGACCTATTTCGATGGACCAATACCGTATTTAAGTTGTTGTTAGTTCTGTTTTATTTCCTTGTTAATTGTTTAGCATCAATACACCAAGTCAAATTCCTTGATGTGTAAATGTACTTGGTAATAAACCCAGATTCTGATTCTGATTTTCTGTCTCAGGAGTTCTGGCTGAACATAAAGACAGAGGAGGTGCAGCAGCAGCAGGAGGTTGAGGTGCTGCAGGAGGAGGTGCAGCAGCAGCAGGAGGTTGAGGTGCTGCAGGAGGAGGTGCAGCAGCAGCAGCAGCAGCAGGAGGTGCATGCGGCCGGTCTGATCCAGGAGGTAAAACCTTCAGCTCATAGTTTACAGGAATCTTAAAAAGCTCCAACGTGGACCCTGAAGGTCTCTGACTGTTTTTCTTTCTCCTGTTCTCCTGCAGGTCCCAGAGGATCTTTCTACCACCAATAAGACCTTCATCACTAAACCCCGACTTCTTCCCGGTAACCATGGCGACCAGGGCAGCTTATCGTTGAAGGTGGTGGAAGTAGCAAACGAGGAGGGAGACGTGGGCGGGTTGATCAACTCTGATGGAGAACAGGAGGATCCGAGACCGGTGCTCATCGGTACGTCTCCGTCTCTTATTATCTGCTGCAGCTTTAAAAACACAGACATGACACAAACAAGCAAACCGCCGACTCCACCCACTTACCGCTTAATTCCACGCTGTGGTCTGTCAGCGCCACGGTTTTTGCTCCATCCGACAGCAAGGCGCCCCGTCCCGCTGGGTCTGTCTCTGGAGCGCAGCCTGCACACACGGGTCCACAAGATCACGCGGGAACAACATGCAAACAACATGGTTGATTTGTTGTTTGTTTGGGTTCAGCTTGAGGCGTGCTAACAGTGGGCTCCGTCAGAAACAGACTTGACGCGTATCCTGACCGCCGCGTGTGATGTAGAAACACGTGCATGACTATCAGTCTTTAACTTTATGGACAGTTCCTAACAAACGTTATCTCAACACACTGACACTTAAACAGCAGCTAGTAGACCTTACTAGACCAGAGTGGGAGTCATTTTAAATTATCCCTGCGATTAAAGGGATACTTCACCCGTTAGCATTAAGCTTTGTATCATTAGAAACCTGGTAGTATTTTTGAATGCTCGTGCATCCCGCCCTCATTTTCCCCTGAGATGTGAAATCTTTGTATTTCTGAGTCTGTAAAGGAGCTTCCAGCGTCGCAAAAATCATCATATTGCGTCACTGGAAGCTGTTGCTGTTAGCGGGGTGAAACTACAATGCTAGTTCCTCATATTTTCAACCACTGAAGCTATAGACCAATCACAGATCAGTGGGTGGGAACTCACTCCCAGAATCCAAACTTAACGTCCACCATATTGCTTGGAAGCTATGCTATGACACAAGACCGGCCTGTCGGCAGCAACCGTCTTGCGGCTCTATTGCTATATTGCCGCCACCGGCTGCTGCCAGCTCAGCAGAGGAGACATAACGAGGAGCCGGGGCCGGCTCGAGCTGGGGCGGACTGGAGCTGGGGCGGACTGGAGCTGGGGCGGACTGGTAGTGTCGGTGCTCTCACTGTTTGTCTATGGACACAGACATAGAGTCTGTTTTCTGACAGGAATTTACAAGATCAATTCTGGAAGAAATCTCTGAATCATTTGTGTAAACGGTCTCATGTGTTGAAGTAAATATGTCTGTAAATGTTTTTATTTCTATATTTCTACTGCTATACTGTATATTTTGGAGAAACTGGAATTTCCCTCTGGGATTAATAAAGGATTTCTAATTCTGAAATAGAGGACCTTAGTGGGAGTGGCCTGCGGTGCTGTGCATTCTGGGATTTGGTGTCTTTCATCCACATCCACACTTTCTTCCTTTTCTCAGTCAAGAAGGCACCAACTTCAAAATGTATTTCACATTTCTACATATATGACCCAAAGTCAGTAGAGATTCATGTTTCCCTTTAACAATTTGAGCCGGTCGAGAGAAGAAAAACACTTTTAGAGGATGTTATAGCTCCAACACGTTTGTCTGTCGGATCACATCTGTGTGCCGGCAGGTCAAAACTATTTACAGCCCTGTTTCATTTCAGTATAAAAACATAAACATGGAGCACATTCATAAAATAAAAAGCGCCGCCTCACAGATAATCCTCTTCTTGACCTTCACAGAACAAGATGGCCGCCCCGTGACCCGGGTGGCAGCCGACATCATCGATGGGAAAAAGAACCACTGCTGCCCTGTTTGTGGACGGAACTGCTACAAGGCGTCGGCGCTGCAGAAACACCTGAGGATCCACTCAGGTGAGCGCCCGTATCAGTGCCCCACCTGCAACAAGAGCTTCACGCAGCAGGTCCACATGACGGAGCACCAGAGGACGCACACGGGCGAGCGGCCGTACACCTGCAGCGAGTGCAACAAGAGCTTCACCTTCTCCAGCGCCCTGCGCCGACACCAGCGGCTGCACACGGACGCCCGACCCTTCAGCTGCCCCGTCTGCCCCAAAACCTTCAGACGGCTCAGCTCGCTCCGGAGCCACCAGCTGACGCACGCCGGACTCCGCTTCCAGTGCCCGCTGTGCCCGAAGAGCTTCAGTGACGCCCTGGAGCTCACGTACCACGTGGACACGCACGCCAACACCCAGCTCTACTTCCCAAACATCTGCAACTAGACGAGTCAGGAAACGAGACTTTTTAAAACTTCCACATGATTCTCCTTAAAAATCAAACAAAGCCGTTATGTGTGTGTTACCACGGCAACAGAAGTCTGAAGTCACACCCTGC